TAAAACAAGAGCTAACATAAGGGTTACAAAATACGATGTAAATATGAACATTATATTTATATGAACTTTCACTATGGAGGCTATTTAAAAAATTATGGCCATAATTTTATTCTAATGACTCATTTTATAATTAGACTTTTATATAACACCCTCAAAACGCTCTTTCTTCAGACAATGTCTATTGATTCCTACAATGAGAGTCAAGTGAATTAGTTTGTAATGATGCAGCATGGGGCAAATCCCCCCAAGTGGAGACTCAAGTCCTACACCAAGAGAAAGAGTCATTGCCTGCAGGAAGGAAAGAATTCAAGCACAGGCCAGAGTTAGAGACAAAAGGAAAGTTTATTAGAGAAGGAATAATGCTCCACAAACATAGGCGTTGTCTCCTCTCAGAGACAGAGAATGAGAGAGACCCGGACTGTCCAGGGAATTCAGTTTAAAACTGTTTTCCTTTGCGGGGATGGGTATGCGGAGTGAAAGGCACGGGAGAGTAGTTAGTCATCTCCGGGAATCTTCCTGTAGGTTCCTCTTTGTCTGGCCTTCTGTGTCTAGCAGCAAGTAGCAGGCTCTGAATACAACTTGGTTTAATGTTTAGTTCTCATGCCTCTTCTCATGCCTATATCAGTAACTTCCTCCTCTTTTCTCCACCCAGTTTTGGTCAAAAATATAACCATTCTGTTATGTGCTGAATTGTGTTCTCCCCAAATTCACGAAGTTGGTATAGGCTTAGTTTTATAAGAAAATATACTTTTTTTTTTAATTGGCCACTTTATATTCTCACCAACAATGTGTGAGAGGTTTAGTTGTTTCACCACTGTACCATCATATGGCATTGACAGTTATTTTAATTTTAGCCATTCCAGTAAATGTGTAGTGAGTGGTGTTAAGGGTGGAAAATTTTCAAGTGAGCCAACTAGCTAAGTCAGCTACAGGGAAGAAATATCTTTAGATACCAGAAGTTGTCCTACTTGCTCGGGTGTGGGTTAGGAAGTGTATTGTATAAGATATGAAGATGGCCAATGTCTGCTTCTGTAATCCACTTCCTTGTTAATTAAGGGTGTGGTTCTGGGCAAAGATATGCTAACAGCCAACTTCCGCTTCCGTAATCTGCTTGCTTGTTCAGAAGACTACCAGGATATGGTCTTAAACTTGATAAGCTGCCTCCTCTGAAAGCTCTGGGCTGATTTCCTCTAGCTCTGCGTGATAGAGAGTCAGTCGCCAGCCAGCTAATAAAGGCTCATAATTAATCTCAATTGGCTCCGTGGGTCTCAGAATCGTTCGCACCATAACAAGTGGTGTCTGTCACATTGTGGTCTGGGTTTGTATTTCCCAATTACTAATGGTGTTAAGTTTTATGTATGTTCTGTGGGGCTAAAAAAATTTAATGCTTTTCCTCCCACCTTCTAAGTTCTTCTAGCTGGGCTAATAATCAAATTAAAGATAAACAAAAGAAAATCAAAATTTTAATACATGCTCATGGGAATTCACATAAGCGTGAAAGTTTTGAAGACAGTGAGGCAACATTGGGTATATAAGACATTTTGGACAAAAGAGAAGAGGTGGGGGAAAGGTATTAGATTTTAGAAGTAAGAATGGGCAATTTACAGGTAGCTGAGGAAGAGCAGAACATCATAGCAGAAAAATTCTTGCTAGGCATCTCAGAAACAATGGGATACCACAGGTGAAACTGGAGGGCAACCGAGTCCGGGCCTCGTGCTGCCTATGACACTCAGCCAATAGACCTGACACAGGAGTCAGGCTATTTAGAATAAATGTTTATTGTCAGGGCACCAATGATCTGAGAAGGCAACAGGTTAACACCTTTAAAAACTGCCTTCCTTTCTTAGTCTTGCTTAGGGTATTTAAGGGGAAATCTGGGTATTATTTCAGGGGCTACGTGATAGCTGCGGGGAGGTCTGCCTGGCTTCATGGTGACTTCCCTCTGGCAATGTGGTCCTCAGGTGGAGTTAGCAACCCAGGAACAAAGATGGAAGTAGTCTGGAAAAAATGCTAGACCGTAAAGATTGTGATCAGTAAGCATAAGGGCATTAATCATGAGTTTCAGGGCAACTTTCTATGGCAGAGGCCTTTCCAAGCTCTGAGTGAAGCCACTGGAGACAATCTATTGTCAAGCTATAAGGCAAGGAAAAGTGAAGCCAGGGATGCTGTGAGGCCTCTACTACGGGGGTCCCAAGCGGGCCCTTCTTATGGATATCTAGTGAAAATTCTTAATCGATTAAGCTCGAGCTCCCTTCCTAAATTTCAGGTTTCTCTGTCTGAACCTCTTGGGCCAGAAAGGGGTGAGGGAGGCTCAAAGATTCTCTCTGAGTGTTGTTTCTTAATAAACAGCTTAAAGTCAACATCCCAAGATGTAGCCTCAGGGTGGCAAAATTTTGGTTCCCTTCAGTTCTCATGTTTTTCCTAACGATTGAAACTTATTCTTTAGTACTAAATTGTCCAAGCCCTCAAAATCCTGTTGGGATTATAATTAAAATTGTTTTAGTTCTACATATTGATTTGGGAGGTGTCGCAATTTTCATATTTAGTCTTTCTCCTTTTTACATTATTTAAAACTTTTATCTCTTTCAGGAAGCATTTTTATTTTATTGCATATAGGTTCCAAGCTGGTTTTGTTAGAATTATTCCTAGATATTTTTTACATGTTTGTGGATATTATACATATCTTTTTTTTAAATGTTGCTTGTGTTTATAGGAAAGTTTCATTTGTAGATATCCTGTATCCAGCAACATTATTAAACTTTTTTGTAAGTTATAATAGTTTTTCAGTTCTAGTTATAATCATATCACATTAAACAAGCCTTTTCAAATAGATATATCTTTTCCTTTAGCTTTTCTAGTGTATCGACTAGAATAGTGGTTCTCAAGCAAGGTGATTTTGCCTCTCAAGAGACATTTGGCAATGTCTAGAAATAGTTTTGATTGTCACAAATGGAGGAGGTATTACCTAGTAGGAAGAGGCCAGGAAAGCTATTAGACTTCTTACAACACATAGGCCAGCTCCCTACAGCAAAGAGTCATCTGGCTCAAAAATGTTAATAATGCCAAGTCTGAGAAACCCTGCTTGAGAACTTCTAGAAAATCATGAAGTAGTATTGAGGGTAAAGCAATCTTGTCTTACTCCTGATTTTAATGTGAATGTCTATCATATTCATTTATAAGTATAAAATTAAATATAAACTAGTAAAAATTATAAAAGTGGAAATTTATTCAAGAACGCTTTGTGAACTAGTAATTCTCCATTGGTGACAAGCTCACCATGGCAGTGATTCTCAAGAAGGGCGAGTTGTAGAAAAGGTGTAAAGAAGTCCAGTATGTGGTTGACTATTGCTTGGGGGCACGCCCTTCCCCACTAGAATTACTGAAGTAATAAGGTTAATTAACATCAGGTAGGCTACATTGGACCTGCATGTAGAAGCCCTGCCCTTATATTTTGCTATTAAAACAATGATATTGTTCACAGCAAAGGTCTTCTTTGAGTTAAAAAGCTTCTGTGAGCTTAATACGTATATGTCTGAATAGGCCTGTTCTGCCCTAACTCTTAATTTTTTCCTTTGTGTTTTGAAGATGCTTTTCATTTTCTCTTTGCATATAATATTGATGAGAAAACTGTTATTAATATGGCAGTTTTAATGCTTTGTAATATTTATGGTGAGCTTTTTCATCCTTGACTCTAAAATTTTACTACGATGGATTTTTCTCCCAATTTCTCTTTTCTCCTGGAGCTCTAATTAGATCTTTTATTGGAAATCCATGTCTTAACATTTAAAATAACATTTTCTATTCCTTTGGCTGAGAATTTCTCAGCTTATTTCAAGATCGCTTGTTTGATTAGCTGTGTCTATTTGAATATTCAACCCATTTGTTAACTTGAATTTTTTCCAAGATGACTTATTAGATCTTTCTATGACTACTATTCTCATTTCAAAATAAATACTTCTAAGATTAAATGTTTTAAGCTTCTCAATTTCAGCTGTTTTCTTATTGTTAATTCTGTTATGTATTGGCTTTCCTCAAGTTTAAAAGGTGGCACTATTATATAAACTAACAATACATAATCTGAGCAGTAGTTGTTTTAGGTACTTTACAGATTTACTTAATCCTCTTTTTATCTTAATGAACTAAGTACTATTAACCCCACTTTTCAGATGACTAAACTGGGTCAATGGGTGAAGAAAAAACTTACTCAAGGCCGAGGAGCTAGTGAGCTTTGGACCCAGGATATAACCCTACAGAACCCCTTCTTCTCAGGTGGAAGGTAGTAGCCAACCAAGCTTGTATGCTCGATACTTGCTTCTGAAAGCAATTAACCCAGTAGTTGCTTGCTTGCCCACAGTGAAGGGGAGGGGCACCCATACATGTATCTGCAATGACTTAATTGCCTGTGTGCCCTCCTGTTCCTTATGCCTACCTCAGGCTATGAAAGGGCACCTGGGTTAGACTTGCCTGTCCACTGTACATCTTTCAGGTGAGGGTCACTTTTTTTAGACCAAGAGCCCTTGTTTTCAAGTTTAACTTTACGTTAATTAGAATAAAACTCCTACTATCTTGTAAACTTAAAATATGTAGCACATAAGTTGAAGAGGAAGAAAGCATTAGTGAGACCTAAGGTTTTACTACTTAATTTCTATTATATCCAGTCGGACTGGTTGAAATTTCCAAATCCTGACTCTTCTGAGTGTTGTTAGGACCATGGGAGAAGGCTTTTTCTTTTTTTCTTTTTTAAAGTCTAATATACCCACTGTCCCTCAGGAAGCTTTCACCAAACTCACATTGATAAAATTAACCCTTTCTTATGTTCCAATAGCAATGTCTTTACACATCATTATAATGCAAAAACATTTATTTGTATGCACAACAATGAGGATTAGAATACTAGATAAGGAAAGCAGGCTTCTGTTAAATGGGGAAGATAAAGATTCTTAAGTAGCCGACTTCCAGACCTGCTACCACGGGAAGACTCGCTATGTTGCCTCCAGGTGTTAAGTCTCTTTATCTGACTTGGCAGCAGGCTTTTTAAATACATCTTCTTCCTGGGCCTGCTTTTCTAATTTCTTATGATATTGAAGCTGTTGTTCCAGATAGCCTATGTTCCTCTTCTGTTTATCCAGGTATTTTCCCATGAAGCGTAAGAGCTACAAAAATAAAACAGGACTCACAAGAGGCAATCTAAGATCTTGCTATTCAAACGATAGCCCATGGACCAACAGTCCTGGGAGGTCATTAGAAATGCAGAATCTCAAGTCCCACTCCAGACCTACTAAATCAGAATCTGCATTTTAAGAAAGGACTAGGCAGTTCATCTGAAAACTGAAGTTCAAAGAGCACTGAGCTGAGACAATCAAGATCTCCAGGTGAACACAAATACCTACTTTCAATGAGTATGAGTATTAAGGCATTTCATCAAAAGAAGACTAATTTAAGCTACTAGCTGCAGTGGTTTTCCACCCCATTTTTTGAATTACATGGAGGTTTCAAGTAAGTGCCCAAACCTCATTCCCAAAGATTTAAGTTTATGTGGTTTAGTATAAGGCTTAGGTATTTGCACCTCTTCAGAGCTCCTAAGTAAGTCCAGTATGCATCTAGGGTTAATGACTTTTGTACAAGAGCATTTCCTCGCTTTGTTTTTCCTGAGATGCAGGGGGGTCAGTGAGAAAGAAGTTCCTACTGCAAGGTAGAGTGTTCACCATTAAACAGGAAGATATCAGAAGTCTTTAGGCTAATAGGCCACCATTAACATTACTTTTTCTAAGACAGTGGTTCTTGAAGTGTGGCCACTAGCCAGCAGCACCATAACCTAAAAACTTAGAGGTGCAAATTCTCACACACCACATGAAACCAATTAAATCAGAAACTCTAGGGGGGTCCAGTAGTTTTAGTAAGACCTCCATGCGATTCTGGTATCCATTAAAATTTAAGCACTTCTGGTCTAGGAGATTTACAAGCCAGCAAGAAACATTATTCTGTTTAATTATCCAGAATACATTATTCCTGGGAAGTGTTTCCCATCTTGTGTTGTTGTTCTTTTTTGTTTGTTTTTACACAGCAGCAAAAGAATGGCTTTATTGGAGGAGAAAGCAAAGCAACAGTACACTTCCAGACATGGAAACAGGCCTGAGCAAGAGAAGGGTGGCTCAAAAGGTATATTGTATTCCTCCTTACCAGGGCACCTACTTTTCCCACTTCTAACCTACTCCCAGAAATAAATTCACATACTTTCTTGGAGGAAAAGAAGCACATGTTAGATGATCCACTGTGTTGGACCCATTTCCCCGAAGCAAGTCATAATCCAAAAGTGAAAGATGCTGCTGCTGTCAGAACCAATAAATTACTTACATCAGTTTCACTGTTCACAGAAGCCAAGGTCTTCAGGTCTTGCAGGAGCTTGGTTAACTTGTTTTCCAACTCCAGAGCAGACTCTAGAGCTTGTATGCCAGTTCCCCAGTTATCTAGATCAGGCCTCTGTTGGAGAGGAACAGGGGAGTCACTTTCCTACCTCAGGCACAGCTTTGTTACAGTCTACTTCCTGGGTAGGATCATGACTGGTTTTGTATAGCCCAATAGGTTTCCAAACTTTGTAGCACAATGGAATCCACAAAGCATCTTAAATACTGAATGTCTGAATTTCATCTGCAGACATTCTGACTTAATTGGTATGGAGTGCAACCTCAGCATCAGGATTTTTAAAAGCTCCCCATCTATTTTTAATGTGCTACAAAGCATGAGTGCCACTAGCACAGTTAGCTTTGCAGTTTCATGATAGTGGTTTAATTCTGTTACTACCAGACATTTACTAGTTCTCTTTATAAAGCTGGAGTTAAAAGAACCCCTCAGATATAAAGGGATGTTTCCAGATGTAATATCTCCAACTAAGGTTTAGATTATTTCTTTCAAGTGTCTGTCCCAGTGAAAAAAATTTCACTACATTGAAAAGACAGTCATCTTGACTATCTGAACATGCATCTGACTTAAAGATCTGTTACAGGATGCTAACCGCTCTAGGAAGAGGTCATTACAGTAGTGCTTCTCAAACTATACAGAGCATTAGAATCATCTGGAGAGCTTGTTAAACTATAGCTCTTTGGATCTCACCCTGAGAGAATCTGATTTAGTTTGTCTGAGTGGGGTCCATTAATTTGCATTTCTGAGTTCCCAGGTGATGCTGATGCTGCTGGTCCAGAGACCACACTATGTGTGGCTCCTTGAGAAAATCTAAACAAGCATTTAGTGGTTACAATTTACTCAAAATGACATGAAGAGGCTACAAAGAAGACACATGTTTGCTCTCAGTGTTGCTATAATCCAATGTAGGCATATGAGTAATCTAACAAATTAGCAACTAATAATTTAATTCCCCAGACCCAGCAAAGGCCCCAAGGAGATCAGGACAAAGTTACGTAATCACCTTAATCACCGGAAGGCAGATTTTACCCTCACGTTTTCTTAGATATCTTAGGAACTGCTTTGCATGTTCCCGCTTCACCTCAGCTTGGTCTTCGAAGAATGAAGCAAAAAGAGGTGCTCCCGTGTCTTCGTTGTAATAACAGGCCTAGGATAGGGGTAAGAATGGGGAAAAACTAGAGGTAAGACATGATTCTTAGGACTGAAAATCTCACACAAACTCACTTTGTTGTCTCTACGGTTGTCTGAAAGGCCTTCTTTGTTCAGTCTGGGGTCCTTGGTTTGTCCTCTGAATTCCAGAAGGCCCCAGCTGTCTTCCTAAATCCAGGCTACCTCAAAGAGAAGCCACCCAGATTCTAATATGCCAGTGCCTAATCTTTGTCTACAATGGCCTCTTTAAGGGTCAAATTTGTGAAACATACATGCTAGCATTTATATTTACTAATTGCGTAGACACCTGGCAGAAACCCAACATAAATTAAGTGACAAGTCAATCTATTTCACCAATCCTCACACATCTATATTAACTCTAAAATAGCATGTGGGTGAAAAACTGTATTCAGTCTACCACCAGTGTCTGATACCAGATAGTTTGGGGAACCCACTGGAAAGGACTGTGATTCTCCTGATCATATTTCAATGTTTGCAATTACAGCTCTGGATCAATAGGCCATAGAATAGCAAAACCCTGGCCACTAAATTGTTGTTTTATCTGGTATCAAACCACAAACAAGGCCATAACCATCATTACTAAGGAGACAGAAGATATATCATCACCCATATCAGAGCTGAAACCTCCCTCACAGTGGCCCAAGAACCCATACTAACCATGGATAAATAAGCATCACTGACATGAAGCTCATAAGATGCTACTTGATTAATGGCAACTCTACACTCTTCAGAGATGAGGTCTCGGACCTGGGATGCCATCTCAGCTTTACAGAAAACCAGGCATAAAAAGTGCTACCCAGCAAGCTAAGGGACTTCTTAAATACTAGTAGGCAGATAGCCAGCCCACTTCTATCCAGCTGAAAACTTGATGAAATTCCATCCAGCTGAAATTAACAGCTACTAAACTACTAATGAGAACATTGTTCCTTCATGAAAGAACCAATCTGACCAGAGAAGAAGGTGAAAAAAAAGGTTAATCCTATCTATTCCAGCCAACGTTGAGTACTCTCCCTCCTGTTCTCTCTGACTATAATTTGAGAAGGCTGATCTACTTCCTAAATAGGGAAGCAGTAACAAAGTAGATGCATTAGCTTTAATTTATTCCTTTCTTCAAAAACGATTTATGGCACATGATGCTAGGTCCTATGGCGAACCTAAGGAGACTGACTAAAATACCTTTCTTTTTTGCTTATTAGGAACAAATTCCCCACCCCAGGTCACAAAACATGTAACTGATCTTCAGTCAGGATTCAATGAAAGTTCTGAAGTGTCAAAGTATATTTAGCTGAGGGGATTTGGGCAGGTTTCATTGTTAAACTGTCATTTGAAATTGTTCTTGGAAGGTGGGTAAGAATGTAGAGAAATGGAAATGGAAGGCTGTTCCACCTGCAGAACAGGCACACATAGGTTGTAGTGTTAAAACATAATAGCAGTTTCTCCAAACTGCAGTGAGATTGCTCTGTTGGGGAATTTTTTGGCTTCTTCCTCAAATAGTCCCCCAAAATCCTTACCTTTTTCAACACACACCTTCCTTATTTGCCCCCTTTTGAGTGTAGAGATTGTTTTACTTATCTTGGTAGTCCCACAGCTCCTAATGGAGTGTTTGTAAATAATAGATGCAGAATCAACATTTACTAAATAAAAAATATAGTTTATGTGTGCAGCAGTGTGATTTCCCGTCTGGTGATTCTTAGTTTGAGCCTAAGCCATGTCTGGCTGAACTGAACTAGAAGTGGCAGGTCACCAGAAGTCTAGTTCTAGGAGGCCATGAGGAGTGAGCCAGTTTCCTGGAGGAAAGCTCATCCTAAGGGGAGGAGCCAAGCATTCCAAGTTTGGCCCAGTCACAAAGACAAGGTCACCAAAGGGAAAGGATCATTTTTAAAAGTTCCATTATTTGTCACTTTTGTTTCCTGACCCAACCCTGCCCTTGTCCTTAACTGAATTTATGCCTTCCTCCCAGGAAGATGTGTTAAGTAGGTGCTTCTCAAACTAATTTATATGTAAATCACGTGGGCCTCTTGTTAAAATGCAGATTCCGATTCAGGGGCCTAAGATTCTGCACTTCTAACGATTCTGCCGTATGTTGCTGGTCCTGAGACCAAATTTTGAGTATTAAGGATTTAAGTACAGTCCTAAAAAACTATTGTAATAAAAATTCCATAAGGCATGGGACACAAATGACACTGCTGGAGGACCGACCCTCTAACAGGAGCGGAGAAGCGGGGCATTCTATGCAGCTTCTCTGCACACTGCAGGCTTTGGCACGTCAGTGCTACCAGGGTCTCCACAGCTGCGACCTGGGGGAGGCAGCAGCGCCAGAAAGTTCAGCAATATCTAGCCTTTGAAGATTAGAGCAGGGGAAGAGAAAAAAATGGTAGTTGACTAGACAGTTAACTGGTTTTGGTCATAGTGCGTGTAAAAGATTACCTAAACTCTCAAAAGAATTTGGGGGATCTTTCTAGGATATTGCAGTTCTATGTGAGCAGGCGGGAACAGGTACCAACAAAATCTGGATTATTACTGTTAATCTGACCCCATCTAAAGATAGTAAATCTGAAAATAAAGATTTTACTTACCGAGTCATTATGAGAGTTTGGAGATTTCTGTATAAATCATCTTATGATCTTAAGAAAAAATAAGATCTTTTCATGTAAACGTTCCATGATTCTACAGTTCTATCTGGGCCAAAACACAGAACTGGATACATATGAAGAATATGTTCTTTTTGGGGGGGAAGGAGTAAATATTATTAAAGAATATTGGTTGCTATCTATCTTAAAAACCTTACCAATACACAGAAAAAAAGAGAGGAAAGAAATGCACCAGCAACATCAGTAGCAGTTATGTTAGTACGGTAGCTTTATAGGTGATTTTTCTTCTATTTACCATACTTCTCAAAATTTATAAATTTATGCGAAATTATAATACAGAACAACAGACCAAGAGCCAACGAACTCACATATATATTTCTCATATACATATGTACTCATATATATATTTCTCATTTTGAAAAAGGTGCCTAACAGATACCTTTCTAGAGAAGTAGCACAGTGGAAACTCCTCATACATATTTACGAACACATTGTTTTTTTCTAATTACAAATGTAGTCTGATCATTATAAAATATTCAAAAATTACAGAAATATATAATGTAGAAAGTTAGAGCCCATGGGTAACACTGTAGTTTCATCATACATTTTTAAATCTAATTTGATTCATAATATCACTATTAAATTTTGATAATCTGATGAATTGACTTTTGAATTATGGGATATGCTCAGACTAGTTCATGCTCATTCTCCCCTGGAAGGTGCTGGAAATACACAGACAACTCCTTTTGTTTGTTTGTTTGTTTGTTTGTTTGTTTGTTTGTTTCTTTCTTTCTTTCTTTCTTTCTTTCTTTCTTTCTTTCTTTCTTTTCTCCAGCAGGCTTTCTCTAGGTGATATTCCTTGAGATACTTTGTAGCCTTCCTTCCTTCCTTCCTTCCTTCCTTTCTTTCTTAATTATATTTTCTCCTTGATTATACAACTCCTCTTAATTTTTTAAAATCTAATCCAAACTTTCTGTCATTATAATGTTATTTCACCTTCTCATCTCTCCAATGATTATGGAAAAAACAAGGGGCTCTCTCTGGATTTAATTTTAACTAAGGAATTCTTATCTTTAAAAATAAAATATCTTTGGTAGAGCATTTTTTATTCTTTTTATTGTGCACATATTTCCCCTATTAGTTTATAAGCTTCATGAGGAAAAGGCCTAAATCTTAGTCACTTTTGTATCTCCAGAATTTAATACAGTGCTTTATGCATAGAAAACTCAATAAATTACATCGACTAAACAATTTTTAAAAAAAAAGGGACCTAAATTTAAAGTTGTTGGTTGTCAAGGAAGACACAATGCGCAGAGCCAGATGAGTACTTTGCACTTTGGAAGAACAGAGTTTAAAAAGTTTCCAAAAATCATGGAGAGGGAGAAAGCAGGGAATTCCATGTCATTAATCTTTCAAAGGAAAGAAAGCATTTAACACAGTACCAGGTAGTAAGTTGTTCCTTAAAAAATGTTCACAGATGAAAGAGTGAGTGAAGTAATTTATCAAAATAACAAAATGGTAGGCCTTAACAGCTAATATGTTACAAGTGATTCTGGTGAGAAAGAGAGGAATGGTATTTACAGAAATCCATATGCCTACATACATATTCCTGCAGAACATGTTATATATCTTATATCTTCCAGAACATGTTTTCTGACTTTTATACTCTGGGTTCAGCAACCCCACTTTTGTGCTATTTGGTTATTGTAATTCTTTCCAAACCTTTGTACCTGCTTGCTTATCTGTTTGTCTTCTCCACTAGTTCATGAGCTCCTTGAAGGCAGTTGTTGTGTCATGACCTGGTACTGTCATTATTTAGCATAGAACATTATTTAGCATAGCAGATTGTTAATAGATATCCATCCACTATAAAAGAATAAGTAAATGTTCAAACATTTAAAGGGCAAACACAATAAAAGATGAAAGACAAATACATGAGAGGAATAAAAATGTAAAAGAAATTATCAGGAAATAGAAACTTTCATGTGTGTTGGGGGTTATGATATAAATATTTTTTAAAGCTAACACCAACAAAAAGAGTTTTTAAGGGGAGAAATACATGATGGGGTTAGGAGAGAGAGGTTTTTGACCAAAAAGAACAAGGTAGGAAGAGAGACACTAATGGGACAAACAGTACAATGTTAGCCAAGCACAGAGAGAAAGCAGAACAATTAAAGTGATATAATGATTAGAAACATATGTAAATAGATAAACTCTCAAATATTAATAGAGAAATATAAGTAGAGGAGTAGGAGAGTAGGAAGTGGTAGGGAAGTCCAAGCAGAGTAGTAAGGAATAAAGGGGTACCTAGATAATTTAAATCGGAGTTCATGTTCAGGTCTAGGTGAACTTTATTCTTTGGTTGAAATGATGACTTCTGGACGT